GAACCTATGTTATTGATGACTTCTGAGTCTGATGCAAAGTGTTTGGCAGATTGATGGTACATGGACACTGGTTGTTCAAATCACTTGACTGGAAAAAAATAATGCTGATAGATTTTAACTCTAGAAGGAGGACAAAAATCAGATGTGTTGATGATAAATACCTTAATGCAGAAGTTATTGGAAATGTCAAAGTTAAAGTGAATAATGGGAAGATCATTCTGATCAAGGATGTTTGGCATGTTCCTGGAATTAAGAGAAATATGATGAGTGTGGGACAGTTCATTGAGAAAGATTTCTCAGTTATTATGAATGATAATCTCTTGAAGTTGTATGATGCTAATCAGAAGTCAATTATGCAATCATAACAAGGAAGAAACATGACATTCAAGCTAAATGTGGAGACAACAAAAGCATGATGTCTTAGTTCAGAAGACGATGAAGCTGATAGTAAATTATGGCACAAGAGGTTGGGGTATCTGAACTACAGAAGCTTAGGAAATCTGAGTTCTAAGAAGCTCATGCGTGGCATTTCGAAGATTGTGAAACCTGAGAAGTCATGTGAGATATGCATGAAAGGCAAGCAACCCAGATTTCCATTTGTGTCTGAATCAGGCCCAAGAGCAAAACATGCTTTGGGAGTAGTGAATTTTGATGTGCGTGGACCATTTCCAGAACCTTCACTTGGAGGAAATAGATATTTTATATCTTTTGTGGATGAGTTCACAAGAATGATATAGGTAACACTCATAAATTTTAAACACGAGGTGTTTACCGAGTTTCAGAAGTTCAAGGTGAAGGCTGAGAAACAAAGTGGTCAGATGCTGAAGATTCTCAGAATGGATGGTGGAGGTGAGTATAGCTCTATAGAATTTCAAAAGTTTTGTGATTAAAATGGAATTGAGCATGAGGTTACTGATGCTTATACTCCTCAACACAATGGTCTTGCTGAAAGAAGAAATTGTACTTTGCTTGATATGACTAGAAGCATGCTGAAAGAGAAGAAGCTACCTCATAACTTGTGGGGAAAAGTTGTAGCCATGTCAGCATATGTGCTCAACAGGTGTCCAACAAAGAAGTTGAAGGAAATTGTTCCTTTAGAAAAGTGGACTGGAGATAAGCAAAGTGTTAGTCATCTGAAGGTGTTTGGCTCTGTATGTTACAAACACGTTCCAGAAGCTAGAAGCAAGAAGCTGGATGACATAAGCAAAGTAATGATTCTGGTGGGGTACCAAAGTACAGGTGCATACAAGCTTTATTGTCCAGAAACAAATAAAGTTGAAGTCAACAGAGACGTCATTGTAAAAGAATCAGGAGTATGTGATTGGAGTGAGTCTCAATCTATTTCTGAAGATAAGCCAGAACTTGATAGTTCTGAATAAGAGTCAGAGTCAGATGATGATTCTGGAAACTCTGAAGATGAGTCAGATGGTGAATTTGATTTTGATCCAGATTTTGATGATGATCCAGAATTTGGTGGTGGTCATGCTTCTGGAAGGGAAAACTCTTAAGACATAGGTTTTGGAGGACAATCTTCTGAAGATGGTTATGTTTCTGACGAAAATCGTGATTCTGAAGGTGGAACTTCAGAAGGTAGAGGTTCTGAAGGCAATTTTGAAGGTAGAATTTCTAATGGTGGTCTAGTATATGAAATTATACCAGAATTGGAAAGATTTTCAGAACAAGTTCAGAGGCCACGAAGAATCAGACGAATACCAAGAAGGTTTGAAGAGTTTGACATGTTGCAAGACACTGAAGTAGATTAAGTAGTAGAAATTGTTTAGTGTTCCATGTTATTGGACTTTGAACCTGTAAGTGTTGAAGAAGCTCTCAAGAAGAAAGTATGGTTTAATACCATGAAAGAAGAACTTGAGGCTATAGAATGAAACAAGACCTGGAAGTTAACTAAACTTTCAGATAAGAAGAAAGTCATTAGCGTCGTATGGGTTTTCAAGATGAAGCTTAAGCCAGATGGATCAATTGGCAAGCACAAAGCAAGGCTAGTCGCAAGAGGTTTTCTTCATAAACCTGGGCTAAATTACTTTGAGGTATTTGCACCTGTAGTTAGACATGAAACAATCAAACTCGTTATTGCTTTAGCTGCTAATAGAAATTGGCCCCTGATGCATCTGAATGTGAAGTCTGCATTTCTGAACGGTCCATTACAAGAAGAGGTATACGTGTCACAACCTCCTGGATTTGTGAAAAAGAATCATAAATGGATGGTGTACAAATTACATAAAGCTCTATATGGATTGAAGCAAGCGCCCAGATCTTGGAATTTGAAGATTGATTTATTTTTCAAGAAACAAGGTTTTGAGAAGTGTGAGATGGAGTATGGCGTGTATGCTCAGCAATATGATTCTGGTGTGTCTTTATATTGATGACATATTGTTGATGGAAAGTTGTTCTGAAGAAGTTGTCAAGTTCAAGAAGACTCTGATGAATGAGTTTGAGATGAATCTGGGAAATATGGTATATTTTCTAGGGATGGAGATTATGTACTCTGAGAAGGGTATCATTTTGCATCAGCTGAAGTATGAATTTGAGCTTCTGAAGAAATTTAAGCTACAAAATTGCAAGGTTATTGTGACACCACCATAAACCAATCATAAATTAGATTATGACTATGATGGTGAAGATGTGGATGCTACAACCTTCAAACAGTTGGTTGATTCTCTAAGGTATTTGTGTAATATCAGACCTGATATTTGTTATGCAGTTGAATTGGTTAGTGGATTCATGAGTAAATCTAAGTGGTCCCATTATCAAGTTGTTATCAGGATTCTGAGGTATATCAATGAAACTCTGAAGTTTGGAGTACTATTCCCTTCTGGAAGAAAAAATGATTCAGAGTTGATGAGTTACTTTGATTCTGATTGGTGTGGAGATAAACTTGATAGAAGAAGTAATTCTGGATACTTATTTAAGTTTCTGAGAGGTATTATTTCTTGGTGTTCTAATAAGCAATTTTTTATTGCTCTATCAACGTGTGAAGTTGAGTACATTGCAGGTGCTATAGATGCATGTCAAGCTGTGTGGCTTCTGAATTTACTGCAGGATTTGAAGATCAACGTAGATAAGTCTCTGAAGTTGATGATTGATAACAAGTCTGCAAGCAATCTTGTCTAGAACCTAGTACTACATGGGAGAAAAAATCATATTGAGACAAAGTATCATTTTCTGAGAAGCCAAGTCCAGAATGGAGTACTAGAAGTTGTGCACTGTAGCACCCAGAAGCAGTTGGCAGGTATTACGATAAAGGCAATCAAGACGGATCAATTTCTTTGTTTAAGGAATGAAATTAGTGTAGTTAGTTTTAATTATAAATCCTAAATTAATGGATGGTATTAAAGGGTATTTTAGTATCTCTAGTTGTCTTAATAACTTAGTTATTAAGTCTATTATATTAGGGCCTATGTGGCATTCCTCTTTCTTTGTGTATAAATAGACTAGTTATAAATGTCATAAACAACAACATTTATTCCTTTTGCAGCTTTACAACCTTCATTCTCTTTGCTCTCTTAAATTTATTCTTTGTTCATCATTGATTTGTATGCACTAACAATTGATATCTAGAGCTATAATTCTTATTCACAGGGTAACACGAGTGAAACGTGAGGCATCTGTGTGATTGATTTTAGTTATGGGTTCGTGTTGGATCATGAACAAAATCTGAACAGAATCACATTTTTTCCTATTCTGTGGGGTTGGGTAACACCGTGCTTGTGAGATTTGAGTGAGTTGTACAAGGTTAAGGATGAACGAAAACGGTAGTCTGAGTACCAAACTTCCTGTTTTTGATGGCAAGAACCGGAATCGATGGAAGATTCAGATACACGTGCTATTTGGTGCCCAAGATGCGCTTGATCTTATTACCAATGGCTATGTTCTGGTCGCAGCAGATACGACGGAAAAAGAGAGAAATGAACATAGAGACAAGAGGAAGAAAGATCAGAAGGTGTTGTTCTACATCCATCAGTGTATAGATGTGAATGTGTTTGAGAAGATTGTTGATTCGACGATGGCGAAAGAGGCATGGGACACACTGGTCAGATGCTATGGTGGTGATGCATCAGTGAAGAAGGTAAAACTTCAGTCCCTGCGAAAGTAATATGAGAATCTCAACATGAAGAACAATGAGAAGGTTTATGAGTACATCTCTAGAGTGATTCTGACCACTAATGAGATGAAGGCTTGTGGAGCAACCCTTACTGAACAAGTAATCATTGAGAAGATATTGAGGTCACTTATTCCTCAATTTGATTACATTGTTGTAGCAATTGAATATTTTAAAGATCTGGAAACCATGAGAGTAGAAGAGCTGCAAAGCAGTTTAGAGGCGCATGAGTTGCGTCTGATTGAAAGAACTTTTGAGAGGGAAGTTAAACAGGCTCTGAAGACTTCTTTTGTTAAGAAGGACTAGAAGCCTTCTTGGTCAGAAACCAAGAATAAACACGTAGAAACAAATCAAAATATGAAAGCCCGTGTAGTAGTATACATGTCAGATTTTAAAGAGATAATTGTTGTTGTAGTTGATAATGTACCTAATATATAAGCAAATTTCGACTCTGTAATCAGGGTTCGCATTTCATTTTGTTCTTTTTAGAACTCATACATCTGATTCACATAGATAACGAGTTTGTGAGAAATATATGAATATGTGTTCTATTTTTAATTCAAACATTTTAATTACATTATTATGGTTTACTTCTTTACTTGTTTTTTTTTAATTTAAGCGCTTCTATTTTATTTCATTTGTTATTTGCATTAGAAATTTTTAGAGCACCATTACATTCTCTCAAAACGTCTTATACTAAAACTTATGATTATTTACTAAAAACACAAATAAACGGCTACTAATTGAATCAAAATAAAATCAATAAATAATTTAAAGGGGGGAGAAACAGAATAGCAAGTTTTATAATCCATATCAAACTTCCATTGTTCCTCTTCTATTTCTATTTGTTGTCATTTGACACTGTTCTATTCTTACCAATCCAATGGAAGTCACCGGCGAACCCATCCGGGTGCAATCCCTACTTCAATCGGGTCTATCCCGGGTTCCACCTGAATACATCCAACCCCCTCAAAACCGACCCATTCAAACCGATCCTGATGCCACCATCCCCGTCGTCGACCTCTTCCATTTCAACACCAACCACCGCGATTCCACCCGGAAAGCAATTCGACGAGCCTGCCATGAATGGGGCGCCTTCCACGTCACCAACCACGGCATCCCGGCAACCCTCCTCGACACGGTGCGCCGCGCAGGCCTTGCCTTCTTCAACGAATGTTCCATGCCAGAGAAACTCCGATATGCCTGCACCGCCGGCGCTGCGGCATCAGAGGGATACGGAAGCCGTATGCTGGTAAGCTCCGAGGATGAAGGAAACGATACCGTCTCAGAGGTTCTCGATTGGAGAGACTACTTCGATCATCATACTTTTCCCCTTTCTCGACGGAACCCTAATCGTTGGCCGAATTTTACATCCGATTACAGGGAATCAGTAGCGAAGTACAGTGATGAGATGAAGATTCTGGCACAAAAGTTACTAGCTTTGATATCAGAGAGTCTTGGGTTGCGATCCTCTTGCATTGAAGATGCTGTTGGGGATTTTTATCAGAATATTACTATTAGTTATTACCCTCCATGTCCTCAACCGGATTTAACACTTGGTTTGCAATCACATTCTGATATGGGTGCTATTACCCTTTTGATTCAAGATGATGTGGGTGGTCTTCAGGTTCTAAAAAGTGGTGATGATGATAGGTGGCTCACTGTGCAGCCCTTGTCAGATGCTATTCTTGTTCTTTTGGCTGATCAAACTGAGGTACATAAACTTATGCGGTCTTTTGTTTATACTATGTAAGAGAATTTAGTATTCTAGGATTTGGTAGGTTATAGCATTGTGTTGTTTATGTTTTTCTGATAAATGATTTATTCATGAAATTGAAGTTGTTAACAAGTTTGGTTTACTTTGGCACCAGATTATAACAAATGGAAAGTACAGGAGCTGTGTGCATAGAGCAGTTACTAATCCTGATAGACCAAGGCTCTCTGTGGCAACATTTCATGACCCAGCCAAGACAGTCAAGATCTCCCCTGCATCTGAACTCATCACGGATTCATCACCAGCCAAATACCGGGGTGTTGTTTATGGAGACTATGTATCTTCGTGGTATACCAAAGGCCCAGAAGGAAAACGAAATATTGATGCACTTCTTCTAGAATCTTAAGTGTTTTCTTTTGACGTCATAGCTCAACATTGTTTATATAGCACAACCTTATTTTAGTGCAGAAAAGTTTATGTGGGTGAAAGGTAGTAAATACATTGTTATTATTGGAGAGGCCAGATATCGACCCGCCTTTTATATGATTGATTAGTGCAAGCTATTTCTAACAATGTGGAGGTTAAACTTTCCAGAAATCCATATATTTATTTATAGCGTGTTCCAAAGCCTGTAATTATCTTTGAATACAAGTGACAAGGTCATATGTAATGTACAGATTAATGAATACTAACTAAGAATCTAAAAGTTTAGAAATAGTTTTATAATATAATATAGGTGACTAATTTGGTCATCAAAACTGCAACACCATATCAAGTATCAAATTAGTCACCTGCATTATAACAACTTCTAAACTCTTACATTATTAGTCAAGTTAAGTCCTAAGTCTGAATTTGTTATGAAATAAGTCTATAAATTTTGTACACAATTTCAAATCCCACGGCAATATTATCATCTTAATGTGATTATTATATTGACTATAATTACCAACAGAGATTAATATTATGCAAAAATAAGGAATTGATCACTTTCATTTATCCTTTTAACGTTGGTACAGCCTGTGCGTGAGGCGTTGGGATTTATGAAGTGTCTATTTGGAAAGAAAGGAAAAAAAAAACATAAATCACATTATTAACGACATCCAACTCTAAACTTTCTATCCTAAATTCACGATCATGTTGTTATTGGGACAACAGATTAACAATCAAAACGGAAAAAAGAAATATTATGCAATTGCCTAACTGGTGAACTTAATAGGAAATGTGCATTACAAGGAGTTCCATGAAACCAAATGTCATATTGGTGTATCCTCCCTAGCAGAGCTCTTTCTTTGTCTGTTCTATGTAAATCAGTTTACATACAAACAGTAGTGCAAATGCTAAGGAAAGTGCCGAAGATATTGTCCTGTTAAAGACATAAAAGAGGGAGAAAAACCAAATTGAATCCACTAAATTCACATATTCATGCATTTGGGTTATTAATAAACGTTAGGTCAAGATTTAATGGTTTAATAAAACAGATATTTTAATTTTTGTTTTTTAATATAAAATATCAAATTTAATTTTTTATAGACATCAAACTTAAGTTTAAACCGTCAAATAATCGAACAGTCACTAGTATTCCAAATGGTGATGTACTTACTGCAGGGTAACACATGAGGAAAATGGTGCAGCACTTAAGGAAAATGGCGCTCCAAGAACTTTGGAGGCACTGTTGACCTAACCATCTCTTCCTTCTCGATGTTCTTCAACGGTTGCACTGCACTCTCATGAGATGTTCCCAGAAACTGATATACCTGATCCAATCCAAAAGAAATATTTAGAACCTCCTTTGATTTTCAAGGTGATCAAGTCCTTCTTGGAGGCGGTAAACAATGTCTGCAACGTCCCTTAAAGACAACCTAGTACAATGCATGAAAGGTGACCATTTGGCCATTGCCATCTTCTTAGAAGAATACATGTTGGGACTTGAAGCATGCAAGCATAATCTCCATGGTAGAATATTGTGGCCGAACGGATCCACGCTGCTCTCACGGTTGTTACGTACGCGTTAAGCTAGCTGCTCAATGACATTCTATTGGAAAATGAGGGTATAACATCTATAGGAAAGGGGTTCTATGAGTTTTTATTCTCCTGACTTCTACCTAAAGATGTGCAAAGAGTCAGATCCTTGAACTCGTGGAACCTAAATCCAGGTGTTCTCAAACTATTCCCTTAGACAAAAGGATTTCATCTCATCTAATGTTAATCAAACTTCGGCTCAGGTTTAGGTAAGAAACCATAGCTTATCCAAAGAATACTGGAGGCCCAAAATCATCTTTGCTATTACAAGCAATCTTGGTACTCTTATTTGTATTGACTCCACATCAAGTAAGTCAGCTTTTGATCATGCTTTTGGTCACTATGTTAGAATTTTGATAGACATTGACATGGTCAAAGCATTAAGTTACAAATTTCCAGTGGAAAGTATGAGATTTACTTTTTTTGTAGAGATATAATATGAAAAGCTTCAGGAGCCTTTTGTAATTATTGCAATGCAATAAGTCATTCTCTTGGAGTTTGTAAGAGAAAAAAATGGGAATTCCATTGACATTTCAAAGGATAAAACAAAAGGTGAAACTCATAAAGCTTATGCCCCTCTAACAAACAAGCTAAAAGAGCCTTGTAAAGAGGTAGTTGATTTAACCATGAAGAAACGTGATTTAAAAGACTGTTGAGACTAGTGGTGTTATCAAAGAAGAAGTTGGTGCTCAAGCTCAAAAGTAAGTTTCCATTTGAAAACTTGCATGTGCTCAGACCATCCCTAATGGATCTATGGAATTGGTTGACAAAGGGGTAGCATTTGTGCTTCCTTGGAGAACAATGAACAATTGACCATGATGGAGCTGTTGGCTGAAGATTTTGACAATGTTATTTAGAATTCAAAAGAGTTAAAAGTTCTGATCGAAATGGAATTAAACGCCATATTTCGAAGTTGCAGAAGCAGTGTTTCGAATAAGTGTGTCAAAGCTTGAAGCTTCGAACGGTGATTTTGGGAACATATCCAAAGGGGTCTCGAAACAACAGCGAGGCTAGGTTTGGGAAGAGCGTTCGAAACGGAGAAACACCAAAGCATTTAAAATTCAAATGGAAGCGGGACTTTCAAAGTTTGAAAGTTATGTGTTGGAGCATTTGGGGACACGTGGAAAGATGAAAGAAGCATTGTCTTGCATGTTCGAAACGTGGCATGATCCTATAGCGAGACCGTTAGGGTCGAATTAGTATAAATAGAAGTCTTAGTATTAGGATTTCAGTGTGTCATATCTGTTATACAAAATACTCAATAACATTCAAACTACCACATGGCAAGGGAAACGAATGCAAGAGAAATGTATGTATGATAGCACCATGTATTTCTAACTTAATGAAAGCCTTTTTACCATTTCCAGTACTTTCTTCTTTTCTTTTTGTCGAATAACATTTGTAAGTTTCTTTATTTACTGTCTTTTCATTTCAAAGTCTTTTCCTCAAAGTTTTACGTTTTACTGCTTTCTTTATGTTTCGAGCACTTTATATTTCAGAGAACTGTTACACTTTCAATACCTTTACTTTCAAGTATTGTTTTTTCAAGCGCATACTTTTACTTAAAATCATTTATAGATTTCTTGCATTAAACGCTTTCTTCACATTTTAAACTTCTACATTCCAGAAACCTTTTATGTTAAATGTTTTATAAATCGAAACCATTTACTTCATTTCTCATACAGTTTTATATGTCTCTTCAATCAGCATTACAATTAGCATTTATTCGTATAACTTAGTTTTCATATACATTTTGACCACATTTTTAAACTCTTAGAGAGAGGGATCGAAATAAACCAAACACTTGTACAATAGCAACCATGAATAATTGTTAGATTGTGAGAGTAACCTTAATATCCAAGGAGTCCTAGGATCAATCTAGTCGATCCTGTGAGTTACCAGAGAGATTGAATAGCGTTAATAAAGATTATTCGATAGTTTGGAAGACTAGCGGTTGTTTACCAGAAATCACTGGAAACAAATTGGCACACCTGGTGGACCAATAGTTGGATATCAGAATTAAGGATTGTCGAGACGTAGCCATCCCAAAAACGTAGGAACCTAAGAAGTTTGCTGTTTTATGAACCTGAGAAGTGGTAAGATAACCAACAGCAACCAACCTTTATCCAGAAGAAAACGTTTGGACAAAATGTCTAATTCAGACAATCAACAAGGAGACCAAGGTGGCCCACATGCAACAGGCACTAACGCGTCCATTTCGAGCGGAACATCTAATGTAATCCCTTCGAATGCACAGTCTGTTGCATCTTCAACCAGTAACACAGCCACCAATGGAGTAAGTGGCATATCAACTAACAGTTCGATCTTAGGAAATACTGGAACTATGGGCTACCTTGGGGGATTCGTTCCACCACCAGGGACGCAATCCCATTTCGCCACACCATTAACTAGACCACCCGGCTTCGATGGGAATAGAATTAGAAGTTCTTCTTACGGAATGCCAACATCTTTTATGGCAGGTTTACACAATTCCACATCGAATTCATCCCTACAACTAGGATCTGGGTCTGGGGCGAACCAATTTATGACAAATAACCAAGGGTCAGTGGGTTATAGCACGTTGCCTATCCTAACCACAGATAACCAGTTGGCTTTTAGGCAATTGATGGATGACAGCAACCACAATATGATAGGGGTGTTAGCGCAAACCATGCAGGAAATATTTGCCCCAATAGTTCAGAATGTGACTGTGACGAACAGGGAAAACGCTGACAATATGAGTCGAATAGCAGATTTCTTTGCTCCCACAGAAAGGCGTAGGCAGAACCAGGCGGGATTTCGAACAAACATGCCTGTTATAGAACAAATCGCTAACGACCCAATTCATAGACTACCCAGAGAAGAAGCTAACTTAGGGGCCAGAGCACCAAGGTTAGAAGCCCCAATAATTCCGGGCCCACAAAGGGAAGTTATGGAACCAGGGGCAAGGATCGAAAGGCCAGAAGCCCCAGAATTTCGAGAAGAACAACCTAGGGGAGTTGTTTTGGTTGGTCGAAATCAAGATGCCGATGCCGTCGTTCATAGGATTCGAAACGATAACATCTTGGCAGAAAATAACCTAACCACCATGATAGAGAGGATCATGGCCCAGAATGGCCTCAATACGGGAGTGAGGAGGCCAAATTACGCTTCTCCTATATTGGATTGTATAATGCATACTGATTTACCAAGGGGATACAAAGTCCCTAAATTTACAAAGTTCGCTGGGGATACCAACGAGTCAACAGTCGAACACATAGCGAGATATCTAACCGAAGCGGGAGATATAGCCAATAATGAAGATCTCGGGATCAAATACTTCCCAAGTTCCTTGACAAAAAACGCCTTCACTTGGTTTACCACGTTGCCTCCTGGGTCTATTGACAC